AGAAATGTGTTGTTAAATCTCCACATATTTGAGTATTTTTCAGCAGTCTACCTCCTATGGTTTCTTGTTTAATTGTTTCCTGAGAAGGTATTTTCCATACTTCTATTACTTTAAGTCAAAGTGTGCTTTTTATGTGAGAATATGGTATATCTTGGTGAAGGTTGCCTGTGTACCTGAGATGCATATGTATCCTGCTATTGTTGGATGAAATGTTCTATCAATAACAATTTAACAAGGCTGATTGATGACACAATCAAGTGATATATATCCTTACTAATATTCTGTTAGGGCTTCCCTGGTAGCTCAGCTGTTAAAGAATCCACCTGCAATGCAGGAGACCCAGGTTCAACTCCTGGCTCTAGAAGTTTCCCTGGAGAAGGGATAGGCTACCCACTGCAGTCTTCTTGGGTTTCCCTGATGGCTCAGATGGTAAAGAATCCGCCAGCAATGTGGGAGACCTGGGTTCGATCCCTGGCTGAAAGATCCCCTGGAGGAGGGCATGGCAGCCCACTCCAGTGTTCTTGCCTGGAGAATCCCCACGGACAGAGAAGCCTGGTGGGCTACAGTCCATGGGGTTGCAGAGTCAGACACATTTGAGCAACTAAGCACTTAATATTCTATTCACTTTATCTACCTATTGCTAACAGGAGGTTATGGAAGTCTCAAACTATAACAGTGGATTTTCCTGTTTCTCATTTCAATTGTGTTCATTTTTGCTTCATGTATTTGAGGCTCTGCTGTTACATTCATACATGTTGGAGATGATATCTTCATGGAGAACTGGCCTCTTTTTCTTTGTTAGGTCCTTCTCTATACCTAGTAAATCATCCCTGTTTGAAAGTCTAGTTTGTATGAAAGTGAGATAGTCACTATAGATTTCTTTTCATTGATTTTAGTATAGAATGTTTCTCCACCCCTTTACTTTTAACCTACTTGCATTTTTATATTTAGAATGAGTTTCTTGTAAGCATCATATGTTTTCTTGTAAGCAGCATATGTATAGGTCACTCTCATTATTTAATCTACTCTGAGAATCTCTGACTTCTAATTGATGAATTTAGACCAGTCATTTTTAAGTTGATTAGTGTTAAAAAAATTTTTAATTGCTTTCTATTTATTGAATTTATTCTTTGATTCTTCTTTTATTCTCCCTTTTCTGCATTACCATGCTTTAATCGAGCATCTTGTTTGATTTCATTTTAACTTCTCTCTGGATACATAACTTAAACTTATTTGTAACTTTGTTAGTGGTTATCCTATTATTTACAATAGTTTTTAAATAACTAAATTCACATTCAAATAACACTTCATTACTTCGTGTGCAGTACAGTACCTTAGGCACAATATTTCCAATTTCTTTCTGCCATTCTTTGTAACGTTGCTGTTATTCATTTTAATTACTCATATGCTATAAACTTCCAATATTACTATTCTTCTTGCTTTAGGAGACAGTTCTCTTTTAGATCAATAAGATCAAGAAAATTAATATATCTATTACAATTATTTGCTTTTACAAAATTTTATTCCCTTTTTATAGAGATCCAAATTTCCAACCTATAACATTTTTCTTCTTCCTGGAAAGCATATTTTAAATTTTTCTCCAAAGTAGATACTGCTGCTGCTGCTAAGTCACTTCAGTCGTGTCCAACTCTGTGCGACCCCATCCCTGGGATTCTCCAGGCAAGAAGACTGGGGTGGGTTGCCATTTCCTTCTCCAATGCATAAAAGTGAAAAGTGAAAGTGAAGTCGCTCAGTCATGTCCTACTCTTCGCAACCCCATGGACTGCAGCCTACCAGGCTCCTCCGTCCATGGGATTTTCTAGGCAAGAGTACTGGAGTGGGGTGCCATTGCCTTCTCCGCAAAGAAGATAAGCTTAAAAATAAAGTCTCTCACTTTTTGTTTATCTGAAACAGTCTTTATTTCTGCTTTATTTTTGAGAAATGACTAGTTATAATTTCACTGATTATAAAATTCTGAGCAGGCGTATTTTTCCTTTTGATACTTTAAAGATTTTATCCCACTTTCCTTTTGCTTACATAGTTTCTTATGATAAATCTGCTATAGTACTTCTCCTTATTCCTTTAGAAGTTAGGTACATGCTTTCTTTGGATTCTTTCAAAATTTTCTCTTTGGCTTTCTGCAGTTTCAATATTTCTCTAGCTTCTTGGACTTATGGTTTGATATCTGACCTAAATTTTAGAAAATTCTTGGATATTACTTTTATAAGTATTTCTCTACTTTATTCTGTCTTTAATTCTCCTGGCATTTCATTTGTATGCCTTTTAAATTTTTTTATAATTACCTCATATTTTTTGGATACTGTGTTCTTTTTGTTACTAGAGACAGAATATATCACTGGTGTATCACTCAAGTCCCCCACTCAGTCACTAACAATTGGTCCAGGCCATCTAGACAGCATATAACCAAACACCTTCCACAGTGATGTCACTCATGTTTGCAGGCTTTGTTGACCTTGCCAGGTTCCACAAGCAAAACTCTTAGCATACGGCTTTACCATTTTGGTCATCTGGTATAACTAAGCTAAGACACAATATCATCTCTTGCTCTGAATCTCTCTCAAGGTACCAGTGTAAAACTAGATAGTCCTTGTGGCATTTTATTCACAAGGACTATTTATTTTATTTATCCTGTTTATTCATCCCTTCAGCCTGAGCTACTCTTTCTCCTTCTCTCCATTTTTCATTGATTTTTTTACCCACACTTTTCCATCTTTGGAAGGGATGTTAGATTAGTGCTGGTCCAGACTGCAGGAGGCAATACTAGTCTAACAATGCCTCATACTCAGTCCAAGCCCATTCACATAGGGCAGGGTTACACTGAACCAGAACTGATGAACTATCTCAACAATGAAGCAAACAGCTACATTCACTATCAACTCTAATTTTTCCAGATGAGGATTCCACTAATTCCTCTAATTTTCACTTAGAGGCTGAGATTAAGAATCCCTAGGAATTATGACATAAAGTTTAAAGATAAAACAGTTTTTTATTTAGGACTTGTGGTTGCTCTCAATACCTGCTGTTGCATCTCTGGTCCTGGGACAACTGCATCAGGTAGGAAAGAGAAAGCTGAAGTCAGGCTGAAACCCTGGCCCTTTAGTCAACACTTACACTGATGAGTTTAGGTGGCCCAGATGGCAAAGAATCTGCCTGCAATGCAGGAGATTCAGGTTCGATCCCTGGGTCAGGAAGATCCCCTGGGGAAGGGAAAGGCAATCTGCTCCAGTATTCTTGCCTAGAGAATTCCACGGACAGAGGAACCTGGTGGGCTACAGTCTATGGGGTTGCACAGAGTCAGACACAACTGACTGTCTTTCACTCACTCACTACACTGATTAGTTTATAGGACCATCAACCAAGACAATTCAAGTTCAACTTTCCCATTGTCTCTGAACCTTCTAGCTTATTTAATTCCTCCAACTAGGGCAAATACAGCACATTTATTTTGGACCTTTCAATGCTGGGGAACCAGCAGGACTTCTATCTACCCACCCAGCCTCTGATAGTGCTGCACCAAGACCTTTGCTTTCCCCATCAGTGTTCACTTTTTTTTTGTAATCTTATTTCTTAATAACCATTCAGAGTGTTCCAACTTACTGGAATAAGTCCCTTGACTCTTACTTTGTCTTTCCTCTAACCTTTTCCACTAACCTTCTTAGCTATCTGGCATTTCAGTAAGACTTTCTCCATTGATGGCAACCTTGATGGTAGTGGCTATAGCTTAGACTTGTTGGAATTCAAGCTTGGCCAGCATCAGGATCTTCCCCAGTACCTTACTTTTAGCTATTAAAAAATACAATAGCTAAGAGATTGTATATTCTGCTTATTTCTCATTACTTTCATTTCTTTAGGCTTTCATTTCTTTATGCTTTTCTATATTTCTTTCATACTTTATTTCTTTCATTCTTTAAGTGAACCAGTCTTCTCAGGAGTTACATCTATGATCTCTAAATTTCATTGTAACTGTTAACCTTCTTTAACAGGTTATAAGCACAGCTGCATTTTCATACCACGGGTGACACCAAGGCCTTCCAGAAACCAAATATTTGTCAATTCTTACCACCACACTCTTCTTTTTCCCAACCTACCTATTTCAGTTAGAAAGGGTCAGTCTAGTGAATCCCACTTTTAACATCAGCTACAAAGTTTGAGGGGAGTCTGGGGGTTCTCAGGACCAACCTCATGTCTACCAGAAGGATTCATGGAACACCCTGCAAGCTGTTATCCTCATGTTTGTGGTTTTTTTTATAAAAGGCATGGATTAAAATCAGAGATGGGGGTGGAAATCAGAGATGGGACAGCTAAGGCAGAGTCCAGGAGAGCTCCAATGCAGAGCTTCCTGTTGTCCTATCCCATTGGAGCTGAGAGCAGCACCGATTCCTCCCAGCAAAGATGTGGGACAGCACACACAGAGCTCTGCCGAACAGGACGTTCACCTGCACCGCGGGGGCTTTGTCCTCTGGGCAGCCTAACCATGTGACTTATGATAAGAGCTCTGGGCCAACGCAGCATCACTGTCTCTCTGGATAGGCTGAAGGTCAAAGGTTGGTCAACCTTGCCTACATGATCAAGATCCAGGAGAAACTTGAAACCAGCAAACCAGGTGCGTTTCCCTAGTCATCAGTCCTGCGGAGGTACTGTCACATATCGCTACCAGCAGGAGTTAACACTGCTCACATTCCCTCAGGAGAGGACAGCTGGAAGCTCCCTGCTTGGAACCCTTCTCAACTCTGCCTCTGCATCGCTTTCCTTGGCAGATTTTAATCTGTGTTCTTTTATAGGAATGAACCATAGTCATGAGCAGAGCAGCTTCCAAGTGAGTTCCGAATCCTCCTACTGAGTTATCAAAACATATAGCTCAACAATCCCCTAATTTCACAAACATAGAGAAAGAATCTTTTCCAGAAACACATCTGCACATGAAGCCTCTGTAGGATTGGCCCAGCTCTCCCTGCCCTCTGCATGGATGGAGCCCATACCTCGGTGGGAAGGTGAATATGGTCTCATTATCTTCATCCCACTCAGGGGGACAGAAATTCATCTGCTTACTTAATAATCCTGGGAGCCAAGAAAAGAACAAACAAATTTTAGAAGAGGAAAAAAGAGTCTTGTCTAAAATAAGTTCGACAACAACACACACAGACACGTAGAAACATTTGTATTATCTTTCTTAAGAAAATGCTAACTTATGAGAATGCACATTTTTATTAATCATGAAATTAAAAGTGGACTTCCCAAGTGGCTCAGTCATAAAGAATCCTCCTGCCAATGTAGGAGACACGGGTTCGACCCCTGGGTCAGGAAGATCCCCTGGAGGAGGAAATGGCAATCGATTCTGCTATTCTTGCCTGAAAATCCATGGGGGACGGGGGGCAGTGAGGTTCAGGACAGAGGGGACACAGGTATGCTTATGGCCGATTCACGTTCAGTTCAGTCCCTCAGTCATGTCCGACACTTTGTGGCCCCACAGACTGTAGCACGCCAGGCCTCCCTGTTCATCACTGACTCTTGGAATTTACTCAAACTCATGTCCATCAGGTCGGTGATGCCATCAACCATCTCATCCTCTGTCATCCCCTTCTCCTCCTGCCTTCAATCTTTCCCAGCATCAGGGTCTTTGCAAATGAGTCAGTTCTTCTCATCAAGTGGCCAAAGTATTGGAGTTTAGGTTCAGCATGAGTTCTTCCAGTGAATGTTCAGGACTGATTTCTTTTAGGATGGACTGGTTGGATCTCCTTGTGGTCCAAGGGACTCTCAAGAGTCTTCTCCAACACCACAGTTCAAAAGCATCAATTCTTCAGTGCTCAGCTTTCTTTACAGTCCAACTCTCATATCCATACATGACTACTGGAAAAACCATAGCCTTGACTAGATGGATCTTTGTTGGCAAAGTAATGTCTCTGCTTTTTAATATGCTATCTAGGTTGGTCATAACTCTCCTTCCAAGTAGTAAGCATCTTTTAATTTCATGGCTGCAATCACCAACTGCAGTGATTTTGGAGCCCAAAAAAATAGTCTGTCACTGTTTCCACTGTTTCCCCATCTATTTGCCATGAAGTGATGGGACCAGATGCCATGATCTTAGTTTTTTGAATGTTGAGTTTTAAGCCAACTTTTTCATTCTCCTCTTTCACTTTCATCAAGAAGCTCTTTAGTTCTTCTTGGCTTNTAGACAGCATATTAAAAAGCAGAGACATTACTTTGCTGACAAAGGTCCATCAGTCAAAGCTATGGTTTTTCCAGTAGTCATATATGGAAATGAAAGTTGGACCATAAAGAAAGCTGAGCACTGAAGAATTAATGCTTTTGAACTGTGATATTGGAGAAGACTCTTGAGAGTCTCTGGGACTGCCAGGAGATCTAACCAGTCAATCCTAAAGAAAATCAGTCCTGAATTTTCATTGAAAGGACTGATGCTGAAGCTAAAGTTCCAATACTTTGGCCACCTGATGCAAAGAACTGGATCATTGGAAAAGACCCTGATGCTGGGAAAGATTGAAGGCAGGAGGAGAAAGGGATGACAGAGGATGAGATGGTTGGATGGCATCACTGATTCAATGGGCATCCATTTGAGCAAGCTCTGGGAGTTGGTGATGGACAGGGAAGCCTGGTGTGCTACAGTCCATGGGATAACAAAGTGTCAGACATGACTGAGCAACTGAACTGAACTGAACTCAGCATCTTCAGACTGACCCTTGTTTTGAAATGAGGATAGTAAGGTACAGCAGGAGAACGTGACAAACCAGTGTCACAGAAGCTGAACTGTGTAATCTAGGACAGGGGCTGGCAAACTGCAGCCCACACACCCAATCCAGCACTTTGTCTGTTTTTGTCAGTAGAGTTTTACTGGTACATAGCCATGATTATCATTTTTGTATTATTTACAGCTGTTTTTGCAATAAAAGGACAGATTTGAGTATTTGCACCAGAGACATTATGGCCTGAAATGTCTAAAATATTTACCATCTGGTCCTTTTCAGAAAAAGTGTGCTGACCCCTGGCCCAGGACACTTTTCGCTACACATAGTTTTAAAACCCCAGAATAAAAAGCACTGTCACTTGTACTTCAAGTTTAGCATTATTTTAAATTAGGGTTGCCAATGATCAATTTCTTACTTTGTGAGAAGAGAGTAAAAGAAGAAAACACAGGGCAAAATATTTTTCTTGCCAATCCTCTGACCCACAAATTGATTTCCAGAAAGTTATAATTTTATATCCCAAGAGTATTTGGCATATGACAGTTCTAGACATCAAAAGGAAAAATATCAATGTGTTTGAGGCCCTTCTGGAGTTGAGAGGCATTTTATTCTAAAAACAGTAATAGTTACCATGAACTAAGTATTATGATGACCTACAAACATGTTAAATGCTTCATAGTATTTTTTTTCTACCCTCAAAACAAATCAATAAGACAGGTAAATTTTTGCCCTCTTATAGAGGCTGGTAAGGGTAAAAAGAATTTTCCCTAAGACAGTCAAGGAAAGAGAAACCCTGTATTCAAACTCAGGGCTGTGTGACTTGAGTAGGCACCCTCTGTACCGCGCAGAGCAAGGATTCTGGAGTGGAAGGAGAGGGAGCACCAAGGCGTGAGGGAGTCACCCCTGGTGCCCCCCACCAACTGTTTCAGGCACCAGCACCAGCCTTGGGACCTCTGGGCACACATTCCTCCCTCCCTGCTTCAGATGGCCTAGAGAGGCAAGGATATCCCCAGACTGTTCTCATTCACGGCACATCTTCCCTGTGCTCTGTGTTTTGGACAATCCATGATAATATCACACATCATTCACCAACTCTACACCAGCGTTCCACGATAAGATGGGGCATCACTGAGTAAGCCATTCTTTCTCCCGAGAACCATTTTCTGCAATTATGACACATCGCTGGCCACATCGCTGCCCTTGTTTCAACATGTCCAGCAATCCCTCACACCCTTGAGATGAAGCGTAGCCCAAATAGAGAGAAACTCACAGGAAAATGCAGCCAAGAAACCAAACTAGCCATCTGGATCTCTATTTTCATGCTGTGAACCATAACCCCTCTGCCAACTACAACTGCAGAGACCATGTAGAGACCATGTCAAGGGCCCTTTTCCTTTCATTTCCTTGTTAGTATCCTGGGAACAGACAGTAAACATCAAGACAACAGGACAAGGAAATAAAACCTTAAGTGACTAATTATTGTAAAAAGCTCCACACAGGTTCCAAGATTGAGGATTAACAAGAGAAGTGTAGGACTGGATAAACATGGTTTTATGTGATTTTATTCTTCCAAATTCCTTCTATATACAAACTCCAAGTGGAGCCCAAGACTTAAAAGCTGGGCTGTTTTACAACACTGTGGGGCTGGAAGTTCGTGAAGGGGTTACAGCCCAGACCAGTAAGCCTGGAGCTCAAGAAGGTGCTTCCCAGATCAGGCAGGACATGGACACACAATGCCCATGCTCTGCAGAACAGTAACGTAGCAAAGGTCTGCACCCAGGAGACAGGGAGTAGGGTTCAAACACTTCCTATGGCTACTGGTGACGTTTAGCTTCTATAATCTATTTTTGCCTTTTTAATTTTAAAATAAACACAAGTCAAGGAATGCTTTTTCCCCCAAAAGTTGTATTATTATGAAAAAGCTGTTCTCCCATTCTGTTTAAAAAAAAAAAAAAAATTTCTCACAAACGCCTTGGAAATCATAAATAACACTGTTTCAAGAGGGTATGATGTCATCCTTGCTTTCTGAAAAGAAATCAATGTGACATTTCAATAGGCATCAAAAACAGGAGAATGTATCTCTCATTGCCTCAGTTCAAACAAATCTTCCCTAAGGTGGATCTGTTTATCTTTGACTGACGTCATAGTCAAGTCAAGGATGAAAAGTGAACTAGACCATCAAGGAGATTACTAGTTGATTCACATCAAAAGGTCAGGGCAGCACCCACGTCATGGCTGGGTCTGACTCAGACTATTGTGCTTTCTGTGATAATTATTGATTTCGTTGCCACCTTGGTTTGCTGCTGTGATGCATGGATTCCCACACTCAGCTCATATCCACTGATCATGTTCTGTGTCCCAGACACCACACTGGGCCCCAGTGGCACAGATGACAGCAGAATGCACAAGGAATCAGTGGTCCAGGAGGAGGCTGGACCACGATATGGTGGGGAAGGAGGTTTGACAGAGCTGATGGTACCCCTAGGGGATAGCCTAGCCGGGTGACATAGAGAAGTTTTCTGATCCTCTCAGAACACCTGAGCAAAGTCCTGGAAAATGACTAAGAGTTATTCCCATGGAGATCAGGAAAAGAGCATCCCAGGAAGATATGCAGGGGAAGATCCAGAGTGGCAAAAGCCAGCATTAGTCTGCTGGGGCCGCTGTAACAAAATCCTGTAGGTGAGGCAGCTTAAAGAGTAAATATTTACTATCTCACATTTCCGAAGGCTTAAAGTTGGAGATCAAGACATCAGCAGGGTTTGTTTCCCCTGAGGCCTCTCTCCTTGGTGTGTAGACTCCAAGGAGCGGTTCTTCTCCCTGTGTCCTCACATCATCTTCTCCTCATCGCATTTAGCCATCCTTCCTGAATCTGGACCATAAAGCTGGCTTGACTTCTTTCACTCAACAAATATTTATTGAAGACTATCTAAGTCCTGAAAGTTCTGTAGAGAGCAGGGTCGGGGAGGGGGGAGAGACAAAAATTCCTGCTTTCACTGGGATTACGTATGGGGTTTCAAATGCTGCTGGGGGAAAAAAAAAGATCACAAATTTAGTGATGTCTTGTTGCTGTTCAGTCATTAAGTCATGTTTAACTCTTTGCACCCCATGGACTGCAGCATGCCAGGTATTCTTGTTTCTTTGCACAGATTGCAGCTTTTTGTTGATAATTGGACATTTTAAATATTATAATGTGGTAACTCTGGAAAACATAATCCCCTTCTCCTGAGGGCTATTGTTTGCTGCTTTTTGTGGGTTGCAGTTGCTTGTTTAATAGCACTTCTAAACTCTCTAACAACTGTTCTTTGTCATGGTGATCACTAAATCCCACTTCTGTTAGTTTAGTGGTCAGCTAGTGATTGA